CTTCTAGACATCTCCATAGTCCCAGAGTGCCGTGCTTCATCTTCTTTAAAGCTGCTGTCAGTTCATCTTTATTAGTCTCTGCACTTCCTAATTCACTACCTTTCCTCTATCCGTCCTCATCACTCTCATTTTCTTCATCATCTCCTCAAAGTATCATTCAACTAAATCAACTAAGCAGTTTTACAGCATATGAAGAAAGTCTTTTAAATAACTTATTGTAAAACAGCAACTTTTCAGGTTGATCTTTTGACTTGTGTACAAAGGAGCCAAATAAAGATAAAGCTTGTAAATCAAGGAGCTTTGAGTGCAAGGCTAGCTGTTTCCAACATAGACTGTATGTAAAAGATGGACATAGCAAGCGTCGCCTCATTTGGAAGCCTCAAGCTGAGCATTTTTGGGTGTCACCATCTGTGGGAACTGGGAAGCTATAAAATGAGTATCATGTTGTATTCAAGAGGACATAAACTAGTGACTGAATTCATTAGGCATTTTACTACAAGCTTAATTTCCCACTAGTCTTTTTTACAACCCTCTGTGGGAAATAGGGGGGAAAAAGCACTTTATGTTGTTTTTTTTATTTTCCGACTGGACTGTTCTGTCCGTCATATATATATAATTATACTCTTTCGTTTCCAGGCTTTATACTCAGTTAAGCTATCATCTGTTGGCTTTAACTTCATATTTAACTAACTGCAATAATAACAGTATTATGATCTTCTCATCTGACTCTGCCTTAAAACCAATAAGCATATGTCAGATATTAAAGACACATCTAAAAACACAACCACACACACTGACACATTTTAGCTGGTTAAACTCTAACTAAACACAAGGATCATGAACATCCTGCCCATGTGCCCCTACGCTTCTATTCACACTCTATGTCACAAAGCTAATGTAGTCCTGGGAAATGTAGGTAAATCCCTTGTATGAATTGGGTCGGTTTCACACACGTCATCGGGAGCTATTTATACACTATCTCTCTCTCTTTCCACACCACCAAGAAAGTAGGTATGCACATACAGTGTGTCAAGCACACTCATTAATGACCCCACAGTCCATCTCTTCCTGTCAGGCGTCTGGTGTATCCTGCGCTTGTCACCCTGCTGATCTCCACACTCACGTTCCCTCCGGGCTTCGGACAGTTCATGGCTGGACAGGTGAAAAAATACTTTCACACTCCTTTGACAGTATGGAAGCATGCAATGACTGTTGTGAGATGATTGATGGTCATTTTAAATGAAGCCTACATAAAGGCTTCAAGAGGGCTTAAAGGCTATTCCCAAAGCACGGGGACAGATGTAGTCTAATCACTGGGAATCAGAAAAGGAAGACTGCAGCAAGATCTTAATTTTTATTTATATATACATTTTCTTTATTATTTATTTCAGCAGTGTAACTCTGTATCTGGGAGTGGAGTGGGGATGCTCCAGAACTTTTCATCAGTATTAAAAGCAGCTGTCAGTTCAATTCTATTTCATTTTTATCGCACCAAATCACAGCAACAGTTGCCTCAAGGCACTTCATATTGTAAAGTAACAATCCCAACAATCAGAAGACCCCCTACGAGCAAGCACTTTGCAACAGTGGGAAAGGAAAAGCTCTCTTTCTACAAGAAGTGATAGGAGAAGGACAGGACAAAAGACACACTGTAGAAGTCACATAATATTATTAACTAATTATGAAATACAAAGTGATGAATAAACACATAGTGAGTAAAAAGAGATGAAGAAGAAGTACTAGGTCCATCATGGGAAGCCCCAGCAGGCTAGGCTTATTGCAGCATAACTAAGAGAGGATTCAGGGTCACCATATGCCTAACTATCTGCTTTTTTAAAAACAACAGTTTTGAGCTTAATCATAAAAGTAGAGAGGGTGTCTGTCTCCCGAATCCAAACACAGAGCTGGTTTCACAGAAGAGAGGCCTCCCATTGTACTTTTAAACATCCTCGGGGCCACAGGGAAAAAATGTGTAACCTTTGGTGTAATTTGGCACATTTAAAGCACAGATGTCAAAGCTTACACATGACGGAGCAAAATTGTTCACACTTGCTCCTAATGATGTTATGCAACAATGGATGCATCGATCAACACCGTCTCCTCGCAGCCAGTAGACACTCGGTTCGGACCTTCCTGTGTGGAGTTTGCATGTTCTCCCTGTGTCTGTGTGGGTTTCCTACCAGGGCTCAAAGACATGCCTGTTAGGTTAGCTAGTGATTCTAAATAAGCAGGAGGTGTGAATGCGAGAGTGTGTTGTTGTCTGTCTCTCTGTGTTATCCTCGTGATGGGCTGGCGACCTGTGCGTCCTGCTGGGATAGACTCTGACGCCTCCCCGCAACCCTAAGTTGGATAAGCGGTGGATGGATGGAGTGTTTCAAGAGATGTGTCACAGTTATCAAAAGTAGTCAGTAAATTAATTGCTACAGATTACAGTTTTAAAGCCTGCAAGATGGCTTAATAATTTCTTCTACAGTTTTTGTGCCTAAATTTGAAAGAAAAAAAATCAAAACTACTTTCAAGTGCCAAGTCTCCAGTGTACTATGAGTAGGTTTATATCAATATAGAAAGAACTGTGTGGGTGGAAATAGCCCTTTCTAAGACAGAGCAAATAGTATGGGTTCACATGTAGTTGGACCCCTGGTTACTGAACGTTTCTTTTTCCAGGGGACTTGTATTCGAACAGAGCCTTTGTGGCTGACCTTGTCAGACTGCTAGAGTCTCCTAAACAGATCCTTCTGACGTTAGAGAGCCAAAACAGATATTCAGATTCAGGATGCTTCTTTTTTGGGTATGTCTGTGTGTGTTTGCGTTTCTGTGTGTCGATCTGTCAGCTGACGCAGCACGAGTCTCTAGTGGCGCTGTTTGACAATCGGACATGGTGCCGTCAGGGTGTGGCGGAGGAGTTTGACTACATCAGCCACCACCATGCCTGGAAACACCCCCAGGTCAACGTCTTCATCACGCTCATCCTCTTCACTGTTATGAAGGTAGGCGACGTGAAAGGCTTTTATGCACTGAAATCAAACCGGCGACGCTTTCAAACTAACTGTGACAAGTAGTTCTTGTCGATTACCTTTAGTGTCTTTGAGAGCTTGGCAGAGGTCACAACAGTGTCTCCTGCCTCTTTGTCTAATCCCAAACTCACTCTGTGATAATATCAGGGCTCTGGGAGGGTCAGACAATCAGATGTGGGACTGTTTTCTCTTTTCATAATTAATGATAGTATTTCAAGACTCCATCTGTATGTCTAATCTTGGTGCCTTGTAAGAGTTTCAGAGATGGTTAAGTCTGTAAAACTCTGTCTCCCTCTTTCAGTTCTGGATGTCTGCTGTGGCCACGACCATGCCCGTTCCATGCGGAGCCTTCATGCCTGTTTTTCTTATTGGTGAATTAAACCTCTTTCTCTTTTTTAAATGATTTCCACTGCCCTGGTGAACCTTAAACTAATAGGTTCTTGCTGTATTGGTGTGCAGGTGCAGCCTTTGGCAGACTTGTTGGTGAGATCATGGCAGCCATGTTTCCTGATGGTATACATGCTGCAGGCAGCGTGTATCCCATAGTTCCTGGTGGTTATGCTGTAGTTGGTGAGTGACTCTATTTCTATATTGATGTTTGTTTTGAGATTTAATTACATAGTTTCTTTTTGTGGGGATCCTGTAGTATTAGAATGTATCACAGCTGGAAAAGTCGTCACTGTTTTTACTACTTTATCAGTTTGGTCAGAAGATTGTACGGAAGGTCGCCGGTTCGATCCCCAGCCTCTCTGTCCTGGTCGTTGTGTCCTTGGGCAAGACACTTCACCTACCACCTACTGGTGTTGGCCAGAGGGGCCGATGGCGCGATATGGCAGCCTCGCTTCTGTCAGTCTGCCCCAGGGCAGCTGTGGCTACAACGGTAGCTGCCTCCACCAGTATGTGAATGAATAGTGGCATTGTAAAGCGCTTTGGGTGCCTCGAAAAGCGCTATATAAATCCAATCCATTATTATTGTTTCTAATATTGCTTGTACTATGACTCTGTTCTGGGACGTACAAAGCCAGTGTTGCGGAGAGCAGCAGAAAGATTAATTGCTGAGTGTTTCAATTTGCTGTTTTAATTTTTGTACAATTAGCAGTACTGAACAAAAGTTTTAAGCCACCCATCATTTCTTTACGTTTCACTTCTGAGCAGCCAGACTTTTATGCCATTTTTTAAAAAGTTGTCTCGAGCAATAGCTCTCCAAGTTTCTGTTTTTCTTTGGATTTCGGCTTTTACTCTCATTTTCAGTCCAGTCCTTGTACCTGACTGTCAGGATTGTTTTGGGGTTGTTTTTTCGCTTGTTAACATTGACCTATGATTCATTCAAGCGTTAAACAAAGTAGCTAACTCAATGAATGAACTCATTTTCTGTCAAAGAATCAAATTTAAATTGTCTCTTTAGGCACTTTGTTACTAGGAAAACAAGAAAAAAAAATCTTTTTAGTTAGTTCATTTAGCTCCGTGATAAATTCCCAAACTAACTGCGTTTGATAGCTAAAACATAGTAATTTTGCTCAAACAGGGTGATTCCCAAAGAGCTATTGCCTGAAAATTTGGCATATCTCACCATAAGTTTGTCTATAAAAGGAAGCTGGACAAGTTGAGTACAGCAGATGAACAGTCTCTGAAAATAGGAAAAGATCCAGCAAACATCTGTCTCAGGACCTGAGAGATGCATCTGACTCTTTGGGTGATCCATCTGCTGTTCACTGAAGGCTCATTAGAAATGGTCTCAGTGGAAGGATGGCTGTCAAGTAGCCATTCTTGAGGAAAGGATGAGGTATGCAAAATTACAGAGGAACCTTACTAAAAATCAGGGATTATGGACTGATGAACCAGATTTGAATATATGTATGGTGAAAGTCAGGAAAGTGATACAACACAGTGTGTCTGAAGCCATCTGGAGGCACTGTCGTGATTTAGTGCTGCGTCTGACAGGTTTATTTTTTAGCATGAAAACGATCCCAAACACACTGCCAGTACAATAAAATCATACCTGATGGAAAAACACACAGTAGAACTCAACGTTGTAGAAATGGTGTGAGATCATCTTGACAGAGAGCAAAATAAAAGGCAGCCAACATTCAAAGAAGAGCTTTGAATGCCCTTCAGGAAGCCTTAAAAGCTGTTCCTGTAGACTGTTTTAAAACAGGCTTGCCTAAGAGAGTTCAGGCTATGATGAAGAATAAAGGTGTTCACACAAAATGTTGACTCATTATTACAATTGACTCTCATTAGAATTGTATAAACTCAGATTTTGCCTTATATTCTGTATATACATGTAAATTTGAACTTTTTCTGTGGATCAGACACTCCATCTTTGCCATTTAGCTCCATGTAAATGGCTTCAAGGAGACTGACAGATATAAAAGATTTTCCCTTCATTCACAGGTGCTGCTGCTCTGTCTGGAGCGGTCACCCACACTGTATCCACAGCGGTCATAGTGTTCGAGCTGACCGGTCAGATCTCACACATCCTGCCTGTGATGATCGCTGTGATCCTGGCCAACGCCGTGGCCCAGGCGCTCCAACCATCGCTGTACGACTCCATCATTCGCATCAAGAAGCTCCCTTATCTGCCTGAGCTGGGGATGGGACATCATGAGTGAGTCTGCTGATTCTGCTGCTGCTTTCCTCTTTTCCAGTGATTCTGCGAGTTTTTTCACTTTTTTTATTCCATTTCCTCTTCATCTCCTTCCGCTTATCTTCCCGTTCATTTCCTTCCCTTATGTTTGCAGGTGTCCATGCTCTCGTGTCTCATTAACCTCTATCTTCTCCTCCATGTTTCAGGAAGTATAATATCCGTGTGGAGGACATCATGGTCAGAGATGTGCGCTACATCACTCTTAACTCTTCCTATCGGGATCTGCAAGAGATGTTAATGACAGGTCAGCTCAAAACGCTGGCCCTGGTTGAATCCAGAGGTAAGAGCATACACAGTATGGGTATGAGCTCATCACTGTGCGTGTGCCTCCTAATTAATTACAAGGTCCCATTAAGAGACATGTCAATGCATTCAGCACAAAGTTCTGACTTATTCTAAGCCAAAGGCAACTAACATCAGCAGTACTACAGCACTAAAAAGTCCCAGACGATACCGACCTCTCTTGTCTGATTTTCTTTTTAATATGTGCTTTTTTTGTTTGTTTTCACAGCCCCTAACTAATAATTTTACCCTTGCCATTGCCTCTCCCATGCCCTTCCTTCTCCCTCAGACTCCATGATCCTGCTGGGCTCCATAGAGCGTTTGCAGCTCCAGTCGCTGCTTTCGTTTCAGCTGTCACGCCAGCGGAGGCTGGAGTACCTCCGCGAGCTGGCGCAGGACAACGGCACGCACGATCACCTGCCCAGTCTTACCAGTGACAGCACCCCCAGCTCTCCCTGCACCCACACCCACCTCAACTCCTCGACCAATTCCAGTGCTCGCCAAGCGGTCCGCTTCTTGGTGAGCACTCAACAGGTGTGAGGCGTCCGGGGGCGCCAGGGCTGGGCTGGGGTGAAGTCTGGATTGGGTTGGGGTTGTAGCTGTAGACTAAAAGTGGATCAGCATGTGTGAAGCATGTAGCAGTAGGTAAAGGCACAGATGGAGTTTTTGGACAGCTGTTGTGGTAAGTGCTTACAAGCTGTGTGAATGTACTTCATTTGTATTTTAACATTAAAATGTGTCTTCTGTGTCTCTGTCGTCTGTGCCCTTACCTGTGCTGTCCTGTTCGTTTATGTGCATGTGTATTCGTCCTTTGTGTGTCTCCCTCGTTTTTGTTTTTGTCCTTTTTTTCCTGCGTTAATGTATTTTCCGTGTAGATCTCCACAGAGGAGTCTTCATCCTTCAGCCCAGTGGTTTCCAATGTTCAGCTTCCTCTGAAATCCGCCCTGAAAACCGTGTCTGCCATCAGTGACACAGAGACACCAAACAGTATGTATTTTACAAAAACAAATAAATTAAAGATCAGAGTTCAGATTCAAATGTACTAAACCTTTTTTTGTCCCCTCTCTGAGGCTCTCAGACCCTTTCCTGTGCTGACCAAGACAAGGAGCTGCTGGAGGTGAGGAGAAGCAGAGATGTTATAGATGCATGAGTGCGAGTGTCCTTTAAGAGTGCGACATGCACTGTACGAGCGGGGATGTGTGCGCTCTCTCAGTCCTCACATATATCGTCCACCTCGTCGTCCTCCTGCTGCTGACAGGCAGGATCCACCCACAGACAGCAGGGTTTTCCTGTGTAATCTCATGCTATAGTCGAAGCTTTTTGTATAAAACTTCTATGAATCATTGCACCCTCCCCACACAGCACATCCACTGCTGGTCAAACGGGGTTTTTTTTAACATCCTACATCTTTTTTCTTTTTTTTTTTGGTTTTATTTAAAGCGGTCATGGCATCATGCAGTGTGGTTTAAAAAATGTTTCTTATCTCTTTTTAACACCTTTCAGCACAGTTCAGTCTCCGGCCACTGCTGTGCTGCCAAACGCTGTTCAAATGCGCAATTCTTTTTAAAAATCGGGTGTAGATCAATCAGAGATATAAAACATGTCACCCTGATGCTTTTGGACATCATAGGAGATTTAATTTCGGGAAACAAAGGCTTGGGTTTGAATATTTCAGTCGGTTCACACATAAAGGATCAAGCTGTTTCTGCTGTTCTGGAAATGAAACATTTTTGGTTTTGGACTGGTCAAAATAAGTAATATTGAACACGCTCCTGGAGGCTCCTGTAATATGATGGGCTTTTTATTTTGCTTCGAATAGATCATTAATGGCTCAATCAACATTATCGATACATTGACAGATGGACTGTTAGTTTTAGCTCTTTGTTGCAGACAGTTAGAAATTCTGGAGGAAAGTTTAAAGCATAGAGCAAAGCTGAATTACAACCCTTATTCAAAATATTTGCAAATCTTATAATCCCATATTTTATTCACAACAAAAACATATCAGAGGCTTAAACTAAGAAAATTTACCATTTTAATAAAAATATTGGTTTATTTTGAATTTGAAGGCAGCAACACATCTCAAAAAAGTTGGCACAGAGTCACATTTTCCACTGTGCAGCATCCTCTCTTCTTTTAACAAGAGTCTGTAAACATCTGGGAAGTGAGGAGATCAGCTGCAGGACGTTTTTACAAGTGTTGTCCCATTCGTGTCTGATTGAAGATTCCAGATTCTCAACAGTTCTGCATCTTCTATATCATATTTTTTTGTTTCATGATGTTTCAGATGTTTTAAGTTCGCGAACTGTCTGACATCAGGCAGATAAATTCAGCACTCAGACTCTTCTACTATGAAGTTGTATTACATGCAGGATGCAGTTGAGCATTGAATTACTGAAATATTTAAGGCCTTCCCTCAAACCCTCATCTAGATGTTGCTCTAAAATCTGTACAAACCTTGATATGTACGAGTTGTACATCAGCTCTAAGGCACCTCAATACCATCAGAGATGCAGAGGTTTGAATTGAGAGCTGATAGCTGGGTTTTTTCCACTTTGCCTGAGTCCATTTTAAATGAGCTTTGGTTCAGAGGAGACAGCAGCAGTTTGGGATCGTGTCCACATATGGCTTCTTCTTTGCTATTTGGGAAGTGTTCCTCAATTTAAACATTTGATGTATTTTCTGTGTTGTGTTGTGAATAAAATTTGGGTGTATGAGATTTACAAATTTCAAAATTAAAAATTATGATTGTAGATTAAAAATTAGCATTGCCCCCAGAAAAAAACCCAAAAAGTGAAAAAAACTGACCTCAGTGTCATATCTTTGTTGTTATGTTACTCACCTTTTTTTTTTCTTTTCTTTTGTGAGAGTTTTGTTATCATTGGGGTGTTATCAGGGAGGGTTTTTTTTAAAATAGTTTTGGTGTAGTTTCAGTTATTTTATTGTTTTCTGTGTGGAGTTTGCATGTTCTCCCTGTGCCTGCATGAGCTCTTCCAGCTTCCTCTCACAGCCCAAGACATGCACGTTGCATTAATTGGTGATTCTAATGGCCGTAGGCATGAACGTGAGTGTGAATGGTTTCTGTCTCTGTGTTAACCCTGTGATCGGCTGGCAGCCTGTCCACACTGTAGCCTTCCGCTCGGACCAAGACGGTAGGCTCCAGCCTTCCTGTGACACTAAATCGGATTGACATTTTAAAAAAAACAGATGCATGGATGGACAAAGAAAAGAAATGTAGAACAGGTATTACAAAAAACCCCACAACCTTTTGCAGAGATACTTGACTGACACTCATGTAGGCCTTAATAGGCAGGTTGTGTTGACAAATGTAACCATAGTATCTGAACCCTGAAATAATTGCCAGAAAATTCAAGTTACTTTGAAAATAAATGATAAAGTCTTTTCTTCTTTTTTTTTATCCAACCATTTGAAGAAGCAGCCATTTGTTCATTAAACAAGCTGATTGAATAAGACATTTGCTTTCAGCTGCAAAGCTCCTAAAGGGATGACACAAGATATTAAAATACTAAAATTTAAGATGTTCAAGCTCCTTTTTCCTGGCAGTGCATCATATTGTATTAACCGTTGGGCTTCTTGTACAGCTTCTGTGCCCTCACCTCCATCTGTGGTGTAGTAATTATACCCTTTCAGCAACATTGTGCTCTCATCACAAAGACTTCTCCCAGCAGAAGTCAGACTAGGCTCCAATGTTGCAGTGGCGCGATGTTAAAGGGGAATAACTGTCCGCTTCCACTGACGCTGTGTTAATGTTGTGCTGTGTTGATGCCTTCTCTCCCCGGCTGGAAGAGCCCGGCTGGGCCGGCTCCTTCTGAAAAAAGAAAGCCCAAGCCCAAACGTGTGAGGATCTCCATGGCGGTAAGATTGTCTGCCGCCTAGAGACTGTTGCTTAGTAACCGTTGCCTTGCGACACACACGTAGTGAGTGCTGGACCAAAATATTTGTGGTGCACAAACCAGAGCATTCGAGTGCTTTAGCAGAGAGAGCGAGAGAAAGTGTGTGTGTTTTAGAGAGGTGTGAATGTCTGTCAGTGTTTCATCAGCTTTCACTCGGGTCTGAATGCCTGGTCTGTGTGACTGTGTGTGTGTTTTTTTTATTTAAAGGTGGTTGATTCTCTGAGTTTTATTGTTGTTGTCAGTGTAATTTTCGGGATTCTGGCTGCGCAGAGATCAATAAACCAAAGTTTTCCTTCAGCCTCGTATTCTCATAGACTGGTATATATAAATGCTGCACTGGTTTACAACCTGTGTCTTTACCATACTACACTGAAGCAAACACATGTATACTAGGTTTTCAATCAGGTGTTGCGTTTTGAACGTTTACTTTGTATAAATCTGTTTGTTGAAGCAATGAATGAATAACTGATTTTGGCTTTTTAGGACTCTACCGAGGTGGAAGACTGCATGACCCCCTCAGAGGTGAGCCCTACACGGACAAAAGATTTAACATCTGAAATGAGCTTTCTTTGAATTCAGAGTTTAGAGGTTCCAGTGTCCTCCTTAATGCAGATAACAGAGTGGGAGGAGCAGCAGCTTGACGAACCGGTGGATTTCAAGAACTGCAAGATTGATCCGGCACCCTTCCAGCTGGTGGAGCAAACATCTCTGCATAAGGTGCAATATAAACAAACAACTAGCAACACAAATAAAATGCAAATTTCAACTATAACTCACACACACAAAAAATGTGCAGACATTATGCTCCTTCAGTTACATTAGGATGATGCTTTTAAAATATTACGTCAGTGTCAACACAACCCTTTAATGCCAGCTTCTGGTTTTGTCTCGCTCCTCTTCTGCCGAATACATTTTCTCTGATACCACCAGGACTTTATAGTAGAAGCTTGCATTGGTCACTGGAGGATCAGTTTCACAGTGCAGAATACTGAATGAAAAAATGCAAAAAAAATAAAATAAAACAAAGCAAACCGTGCAAGTGATCATAATGGGACTTCAAGGGATCTAAAAATAGCAGCTGCGCCAGAAGCTGTCTGGACAGGCATGAGAAGATGACCTTTGCGGGCATATAAAGTTTAAATCAGGTATGCCTTTTTATGGGCCGACCTTTTTCATTATGCCTCATAAAATGAAAATGGTCCCTTTAGTCACAGACTAATATGCAGAACAAGTCACTAACACTGCTGATGTTAGAAAATCCATGAACCCACTCTTTTTTTCTTGTTTCTTGAAAGGCTCCATACAAATCTAAGTTACTGGTTTTTGATGTGCTCGTTCTCTTCCCTCTTGTACGAAAACACAGACAGTATGGTGCTCATTTATTATGTATTCTTTTCATCTTCCTTATATCACTGTATATAATCAGAAGGCAGAAACGGCTTCTCATGAACAACAAACAAATTAATATTAAAAATACAGACTTCTTGTTCTTCTTTTGGATTTTTGGACTTTCATTGTATAAGTAAATGGACTGGTTCTTGTGTAGTGCTCTTCTGCTCGAACACAAAGCGCTTTATATAACATGTCTGAATCACCCAAGCACTTTATTTTCTGTCTTAAGTGGATTCTAGCTAACGTTCACGCTTAGATGAGCACATCGAGATCAGCATGTTGCACAAAGATGGCACATAGAGATCGAACCACCAACCTTCTGAGTAGTAAATGAGCTCTCTCAAAGACAGCTATGTGCACTGTATATGAGCTTATCATAGTAAGATTATTATTATTTAATAATGAAAAGAACTTTGAATGAATGTGTGCTGATTGCTAAGTTCAAACTCTAAACTGCTGCTCCCATGAAATCAGCCCTTTAATGGTCCAACCCAACACATTTACCTTGAAGGTCAGGAGCGTTATACCAAATTAATCACAGCACCCATGAGCTTAGCTGGTTTTACCTGAAGACTGTTGCTTCGATTCCTTAACCTCCTTTCCGAATACCTGTGATTGTCATGCATCATAAATCGCAGCGAGCTGTGGTTAGTTGGTTCAGTTTTATGAGTCGGGCACCGTCTTGTCTGACGCAGTGTCCATGTTGAAAAGGGAGAAACATGATGCAGTTTCTATAACCCAGATCCAAAATGCACGTGAACCCCCTTTGAGTCTGTATCCAGGGCATGACCCACCTTTTCTCCTCCTCCACAGACTCACACCATCTTCTCTCTCCTTGGTCTGGACCACGCCTATGTGACCAGCATGGGACGACTGGTTGGAGTGGTTTCTCTCAAAGAGGTGTGCAAGTCTGTCTGATGAAAGCTGCTTTATTTATATGTTATATGTTCCACCTCTCCTCTTTCTTCACCTCTTTTCTTGGCTCTCCTTCCTGTCTTTCTTTATTTTCGGGCTGACCGCATCTCCAGCTGCGTAAGGCCATCGAGGGCTCAGTGACGGTGACTGGAGTGAAAGTGCGCCCTCCGCTGGCCAGTTTCCGTGACAGTGGGAACACCACAAATGTATCCGAGGTAACTGAACTTCACAAGCTGTGCATCCGCCACAGGGGGCTCTCTTTGCCACGGGAACCCAACCCTCCAAATGTGGAGGATCAGCCAGATCTCCAGTACAAAGAGATCCCTGTCAACTTTTCGGACGAAACAAACGTGCAGTTCGAAGCCAGCGACATCACAAATCCCTTGTCAGAGCTGCCGCTCCAAGAAAGCCCCTCGTTCACAGAGGATCAGTCTGAGTTTACTTTTGACTGCAGCCCCTCCCACACTGAGGAATCGGAGCTGGCCTGTGACTTTGACCCCTCCAACCAAACTCCTGAGCCAGACGAAATGGAGCAAGAGGAGGCGCCTCCGTCTCTAAACAACAGCCAATCCGAACCTGGGGGCGAGGGTAGCACAGGCCACACTGAGGATCAGTCGGAATGATCAGATCCACACTGTCGCCTCATGAATGTTGACGTTTCTTACGTTTGTTGGGGTCACACTCACCTCCAAGTCCAGCCTAGATACTCGTGGTATGACAGTGAGCGAGTGAGAGTGAGCGAGTGCTTGAAAGATATATGAGGGATAAAGCTGGTTTTGTTTTATGTTTTTAATGCTGACAGCTAATCTCCTGGAAGGACCAAAAGTAGCACTTTCTGACCAAAAGAGTCAATATTTACAGGGTATAAAATTCAAATATCAGGATTTTTGGTTTTAAAATGTTGCTCTGCTACGCCTGCGGAAGACAATGAAGTTGAATCCACAATTTGTAAACTGGTTTCTCCATCCATACATCCATACAAACATACATACATGTGAAACCAAGAACACAGCACTCAGTAACAGATTGGTGCCCGTGAGCATACCCAGAATAATATCCGTTCCGAGCTAATAACGACCATATTTTACAAAAGGAGTCTCATATTATATTATAGATAATCGGTAGTTAGCGATTGACCCAAAGAGTCATCAGAAACTTTGGGAAAGGGTCACTTTCACATAGACTATACACTACTATACTACACTTTTCTGGTGGTCTTCCTGCCACCAGAGGAGTCGCCCCCTGCTGGCCTTCATAAAGAATGCCAAGTCTGATTAGAGGGCTCAGGGGGTTGGAATGAAAGGGCTCTTTGTAGTCCTTTCTGCTGTGTTAAGCTGGATTTATGGTCCAGTAGCATTGGGTTTAATTTTTCTCCCCTTCTTGTTCTTCTTTTCTTTATTTCAGCTCCTTTTTGTTAGATGCCAGCTGCTGGACAAAGAGTTTATACACATACATGCATCCAGCTGTCAACTTGCAGCTGGTTGTAGTTAGAGATGATGAGTTCGACCTCCTCATCTTCCTCTCTTGCCTCTCTCTAGCTCCTCTTTCACTCCTCCAGTTCTTTTAATCAGTGTTTCTCTTCTCCTCCTTTTTTACCTCCTTCATAATCCATGACGGCTTGCCGCCTCCTCTTTGAAGCTCACTTCTAGAGCATCACAAGTGTTTATCTGGGGTTGTCTACTCCTCAGTAGAGACTACTCCTTCTCAGCTCCTTGTCTAATTGATTGTGGTCAAGGGTCTAAGCAAGAGCTTTACTGAGTCTGTACTTGTTTTTTTCTTTTTCTTTTTCTTTTTCGTGCTTTAAAAGAGCTCAACTTTTTATTTGAGCTCTTCTCTGAGTCGGCTCACTTGCTGCTTTTGCCCATCTTCCACAAGGCCAGTCTGCTCCTTTTGAGATCTGTTTCCCTCCTTGAGACACTTTATCTCTCTGATGGCAGAGCAGAGGCCATCTCTCAGTCCCTGCACAGCTGAGTTTTGAGGGGAGTTGGTCAGTGTGCTATTTCACACTGAAGCTGCTCTCTTTAAACTGCATTAGCCCAAATCCCTTAAAGATTCAAACATACTTATCATTAAAGTCCAGGCACACAAACATTAAAAGGGCAATATGCCAATAGGATCGTTTTTCTCATCTTATTTTAATGCACAAAGTACAATGAGGACGAGGATGAAATCACAGAAAAAAAGATTTAGGAAGGTTTGTGGGAAAAAAAACATCAAAAAGGGGGGTGAGTCTCATCTGTGACTGCTGCTTTTGCACTTCCCTTTAGGGCTGAACATTTCCTTTTTTTGTGTGTTTTGATGGTTTGAGGCAACAACACTTGGTTTATGCTAAAATAAACAAACAAACAAACAAACAAAGAAAACAACTTTGGATTAAAATACACAATTTACAAAAATACAATGATGCTAAAGGGATACAGAGTGCTTTCACGTGTAATGCCTCAGCGTCAGTACATGTGACTGTAGGGACGAATAGTACGAATAGGGACTAAGGTTGTTCTCTATGGACAGCCCTCATTACAGTAAAAGTCATCAGGGAGCAAAAAAGTACTTTATTTATTTATTTATTTTAGCTATGGCATCACATCTGTCACCCGCCCTTCTGTCCATCCACAGGTCATAGGAATCGCTCCTCCGACGACAGTAGTAGTCAGATTTTGTTTTATTTAACTCTGATCGAGAATGCTACTGTTGCAGCAAGTTGGTTCATGAAGTTTCTTCCTTCCTGGATATTCCACAATCAACTGTAAGTGGTTTTATTGCAAAGTGGAAGTGTTTGGGACTGAGTTCCTGTGGTTGCTAAAGTGTCAGAGTGAGGTCAAAGAGCTCCAGTCCTCCTCTGGCATTAACATTTTTCAATTCAATTCAAATTTATTTATATAGCACAAAATCACAACAACAGTCACCTCAAGGTGCTTTATATTGTAAGGGAGACCCTACAATAATGCATACAGAGAAAAACTCAACAATTATATGATTGTGAGTAAGCACTTTGGCGACAGTGGGAAGGAAAAACTCCCTTTTAACAGGAAGAAACCTCCAGCAGAACCAGGCTCAGGGAGGGGCA